TAGTTGAATGACTGCTGTGGATCAATGATCAGGAAAAGGATAACTTACGGTAATGATGAGCATTTAGTATATGATGTATGCATATGCTCTGAAATTCGGATGAAGAGAACTGTGATGCAGTTCATGTGTGGTTAGGCGTAAGTTGTTGTAAAAACCCGTAAATGTTGATCATGAATGACAGCCATCTTGTTACTGGTTATCGGTCCTTGGTTATCAAGTGCTGACTGTTTCACTCGAAGTAGCAATTGAGAGGTGAATCAACATGTTAATGTTTTAAACAAGCATTTTTTCGGACCGTTGACGATCTAGTCCTCACAATAACTAATTTTTCTCTCATTTTTAAAAAAGAAGTTCTGAATACGACCCATTCAAGAAAAGGTTTCAGAAAAGAAAATTAAGAATATTAAATTTTTTATTTAAACATGAGTTTCAAGTCATATTATCTTTTCAGCATAAAAGAACCACAAAATGGAAAGAAACCTTTTGAATATTCAGCCCTTGCAGACTCCATCTGGAGAAATAATTCATGAATATTTTGGCAGTGCTGACAAAATTGTCACAAATACTGATCCAAACTATGTTCCAAAACATTCCATGGCTCGAATTGAAATTCCTGTGGGAAAAAAAAGTGAAAAACATTTTCATCCTATTTGTGAGGAATCATACACGATTATTTCTGGCCAAGGCTATGTAACTATTGATAACGACCGTCATGACGTCACAGAAGGGTCGTCTGTGATTATTCCTCCAAAAGCTCGTCATCAAGTAAGAATCTTTAGTATTATTTTTCAATATTTTTCAATTAGTTTTTGTTAAATTTTTAGATTTTTAATACTGGAAATAATTCGTTAATTTTTTTTGCTGTCTGTATTCCTCCTTGGACCGCAGATTGCTCAGTTTTTGAAAGTAATGACTAAATATCTACTGCCATAACAATTTTTTCTCTTTATTTTCATTAACGTCTAGTATGTTTTAGTAGTAATGATTTTAACACATCATATAGTTATGTAGATAGTCGTTTTCTCGCTTAGTTTATTTTAGATTTATGAGTGGCGGAATAGCGCCGAGTCAAAGTACAGTACACGTGTCAAATTTACCGTTCAGTTTGACTAATAACGATCTGCACAAGATATTCCAAGAATATGGAAAAGTTGTTAAGTATGGCTAGGTCCATTATTTAAATAATCTATTTTCATACTTGACCAAATATGATCGATTTCAGGGTGACAATAGTGAAAGATGGGACAGAGAAACGAAGAAGTACAGGCGTTGCATTCGTATTATATTTGAACAAAGAAGATGCAGTACGTGCTGTGCAAACATACAATGGACAAGAAGTAAGTTGAGATGTGTGAAATACTTTCTCTTCCATATAACGGGTGATCCAAGATAAATTGCACTAAATTCTGATGCATTTTTCTCTCATTTTTCATTTATGAAAAAAATGCCCTGAATATCAAAAGATAGAGAATTTCAAGTTCTACAAAACTGTTGAGTTT